ACCGGAACCGCACGTGGCTGGAACCCACTCGAGGGCAGCTCAGACTGCCCTCCCAGAGCCACTGCACGCACCTGGGCTTCCAGGCGCCCCTCTGTCGCCATGGCGCCATTGCCGCTCCCCTGGACAGAAAGCTCGGTGGCACCTGGTTCTCTCCATCTCAGTCTTCAGCTCGTCTTCCTGGCTGGCAGAGTTCTCCCTCTTAGCTCTGCGTCCCACTCAGTCTGTACCCTTCCCTCCTCACAGGCTTACAACAGTGCCACGGTTGTCCGTGTCCCCTTGAAGCATGTGGCTCGTCTTCTGCTGGCCAGGTCCTTTCTTGTTGCTGGTGAACTCCTACTTGATCATCAATGCCCAGTTCTTCTGGAATGTCTTCCCTGACCCTCCCGCATCCTCCCCGGGAGATTTCCCTCCCACTGGGCTCCCCCAGCGCTTCGTTCATGCCTCCAGATAGCACACAGCGGGTTGGATTATGGAGATTCATTTCGGCACCTGTTTTTCTTGCTAGACTCTGAATACTCAAGTGATCGTGTCTTAGTCATCTTTGTAACTGCCCCAGTGATGGACTGAGCACTTAGCACAGGGCATGACAAATAGTAGATGCTTAATGCATGACCAAGTTTGACTAACCCAGGGCTCACGGGTCTCTCTGAATTACGCTCTGAATTGCGCTCAAGTTTGTCCCCAGCACCTGGCCCAGGTGGCACACTCTGAGGACTCAAAATAAGAATGAGTAATTGCGCCATTAGTGATATGTAATGGTGGCAGCAGTAGTAACAATAATAAGAGCCCGGCCAGTGTGGCTCAGTGGATTGAGCATCATCCCAGGCACCAAGAGGTCACATTGGATTCCTAGTCAGGGCACATGCCCAGCTTGTTGACTTGATCCCCAGTAGGGAGCGTGCAGGAAGCAGCCGATTCATGTTTCTCTCTCACACCGATGTTTCTATCTCCCTCCCCACTCCTCTCTCTCTAAAAAAAAATCAATGAAAACATATTTAAAAAAATAATAAATATAGCATTTATTGAATGCATACCATGTACTGGTCTCTGTGCTTAGTGTTTTACATTCATTCATATTTAATCCTAATAATAGTAATATATTCTTATCCCCATTTTACAGATGAAGGTATTTGTTTTACTTATGGGTGTATCCAGGGCTGAGGTATTCATTTTGGCCGGTTGGTGTCTGGCTGGCTGGGGCTGGGGCCGCACTAAAGCTTCCTTAGTTATTTTGTGTCCCTTCTGCCGTGATAACAGGAAGGCCGTCTGCTCGTCTGTCGGCTCCTCGGCTCCTCGGCTCCTCGGCTCCTCGGGGGAGCCAGGCTGGGCTGCGCTGGAAGGGCCGCGATGACTTTCCTCCTGTGTCCGGTGGCGCGGGGGTGGCAGGAGGCCATTCAGCTGGGGCTGTCGACGGGGTGCCCACATAGACACGCACGGACGTGGATCTCAGGGTAGTCCCACCCCTTCCGTCGCAGCTAGCACCCCATAGCGACCACTGCAAGAGGGGTGGAAGGTTTCTTATAACCCAGCCTCAGGAGATGGAGAACAGCGCTTGTCCCGCTCAGATTTAAAGGGAGGGCACTGGGCTCTCCCTGACAAAATGTCTGAGGTCCCCTGTGATCTAATGCGCGCGCGCACACACACACACACACACACACACACACTCACAGCCTGAGAGCCCACATGAAGCTTGAACCTTCCCCGTCAGCACACCACTGGCGGTGGTCTGGGCCCGGAGCAGGGGCCCAGCAGGACGGGGGCCTTCCCAGCGTCTGCCAAGAAATAGGAGGCTCAGGAAGAGCCTGCGCCAGGGGTCGCTGTTCTGTGGGGAGGGATTCTGTCCTGGGATTCACATCTCAGGTGTCTCAGGACCAACACCCCCTTCCCCTCCCCCTTCGGAAAAGTGCAGAAATAAGGCTGTCGGCCGCCCGTCTCCCGTACCAGCAGCCTGACGCGGATGGAGTGACGTCTCAGCTTCAGTCAAACCTCAGTGAAACCCCAGCTCACCCGCCCCCACATGCGGTGCGACCTTGAACAAGTCCCTAGACCTTCTGAGCGCCAGTGACCTCGTCTGCAGATTGATAAAATTATACTGTCACTCTTCCATTGAACAAGTGACTAGGGACTGTCTACCACGTGCCAGACGCTGGATTCAGTGGTGAGGACCACAGGCACTTCCTTATGGAGGAAGCTGTGGTTAGCCAGACCATTACACAAACAGATGTCACGTTGCAAAAGTGTGCTAGGTGCTGTGAGGGAGTGACAAAGTGCTATGAGAGGGTGCAAGTGTGATGTGATCACGTCGTGGAGGCCAGGGACAGCTTCTCTGAGGAGGTGACACTTGCTGTGGTCTGGGCATGTGTAGCAGCAAACCAGCTGAAATGTGGCTCAGGCGGAGGAATGGCACGTGCAAAGGCCCTGTGACGGGGTGGAGTAAGTTCAATAGGACGGGGTGGAAGGCCAAGGTGACTTGGTCAGAGAACAGTGGGCGATGAGGCTGGACAGGTGGGTGGGAAATTTGTCCATGGAGGTAAGGAGGCCTTAAAACTCATATACATTTTATCTATTTACGTGAATGGTTTTCATCATGGGAGTGTCATGACCAGATTGTGTTTCAAAAAGAGGACCCTGGCTGCGGCGTGGAGAATGGACACAGCGTGGAGAATGGACGTGGCGTGGAGAATGGACGCGGCGTGGAGAATGGACGTGGCGTGGAGAATGGACGTGGCGTGGCAAAAGGAGATGCGAGTGACCCATTGGGAGGCTGCAGCAGGCAGAACAGTGGCCCCCAAAGGTGTCCGTGTTCTAATCCTTGGAACCTGGGAATTTGTTAATTACTTGGCAAAAAAAAAAAAAAAAAGAGTTAGGGGAGATTATTCTGGATTATCCAGTGGCCCGGTGTCGCCTGTGAGCTCGGGTGGGTCGGGAGGGGAGGCGGCAGCCCTCCACCTGGCCTCCCTAGCTGCGAGGTGGAGGAGGTTTGAGGAACCCCATTTTGTAATTGAAGAAACGGAATTTCTAAGACATGAAGTGAGCCACCCAGGACTAAGCGTCATTAAATATTATAACCAGGGCTTAGAGCCAGTTCTCCTGACCACAGATTCTCTTTCCATTTCCATACTATTCTGGGGAACCCCAGGGGGACCCAGGTTAGACAGGGCTGGTGGCCTGGTTCCAGCTGAAGTGCCCGCGGACCATCCGAGTGGAGGTGTCCAGCCGGGAGGTGGTGAGTGGTTAGATAGTGCTGGCCTGGCCACCCCGAGCTGTGGGTCAGCTGTGTCCCTGAACTCGTTCTAAGCCTCGATCTTCTCGTCTTAAACACAAACAAACAACAACAAAAAGCTCAATCTTCTCATCTGTAAAGAAAGGATAACCATCCAAAGCTACCTTGGGCGCTAATGTAAGTCTCGGAAGAGATATCACTGTGTAAGAGAATAATGAGCTGTGCAGATGTTGCGGGTCCTGAACGGGGATCAGAGGTGGAAAACCATGTCAGGAGTAGGGGAGCGTCTTCCGAACCACAGGCTGGCTGTCGCCTCAGTCAGTCTGTGGGCTGTGCGGTTACTCAGGGCCCCCTTCAGGGACTGTGGCCAGAGCGCATTTCTGTCCCACTCCTTGCAAACAAGTAGGACTCAATGAGATGCATGTTTGCAGGGCCTCGTTCTTTTTTAGAGAGGGGGTAGGAGAGAGACATCGATTTGTTGTTCCACTTCTTTATGCCTTCATTGGTTGATTCTTGTACGTTCCTGTCTGGGGACTGAATCTGCAACCTTGCTGTCCTGGGACGACACTCTAACCACCTGAGCTACCCAGCCAGTGCTGGGCCTCATTCTTTTTTTTAAATTTTTACCCGAGGTTATTTTTCCATTTTTGTTCAGATAGAGTGGGGAGAGAGGGGGAGAGAAGGAGAGAAAGGGGGAGAGAAAGAAACACTGATGTGAGAGAGACACATCGACTGGTTGCCTCCCACATGACCTGACCAATGCCAGGGATGAACCGCAACCGAGGTACATGCCCTTGACCAGAACTGAACCCGTGACTCTGGTCCTCGGGCTGGTGCTCTAACCGCTGAGCAAACCGGCCAGGGCTGGGCCTCATTCTTGACTCTACTTTCCATCTCTACTTCTCTTTTCTTTTTATTTCTCACTTAAATTTCAACATTGTAACTGCTATCGACGGAATGTTTGTGTGCACCCTGTATTCATGTGTGGAGGCCGTACTCTCCACTGTGGGGCCTTGGAGGCTTAGCAGGGTCAGTTCTTAGAGGTCACCCAGCTCTCAGTGAGAGAACCAGGAGTCACATTCAGAGACTGATAACCGCTTGTGCCCCAGGGCCCGAGGGTGGGCTTCCAATTCTCTGTTAGAATTTTGAATGACAATGAATAGTTGTGGGTGGAATGAGATTATTCTCTTAGCTTTGAGAGTCATTTTTGTTGCCATACACGGGTTTGCCGCTGCTGGTGTTCCTGTGTTTACCTCTGATCTCTGGAATCAAACCACACTCTCGGAGGGGCCAGCAGCATCGCTCCAACCGCAGTCCAGGGTGGGGCAAAAGTAGGTTTACAGCTGTTCGCATGGGGAATAATACAATAAATAATCCACGAAGAAACTGTGTCTCATGTACTCACAATTGCAAACCCACTTCTGCCTCACTGGGAGGTATTTGGTATTTGATTTGAAACGTTGGTTTTAATCAGGACCAAATCCAAGTATTGTGAACGTCAACTGCTCCCAGTCTTGCCAGCCCACCTCGCGAGTGTGAAGTCAGTGCAACTGTTGTGCCCCGTGAGTGTGGGCGGGCGTGGCTGCTGGCGCCCCGCGGAATCTGAGTTGGGCAGTTCAGAACATCTATATCCAACTTGCCGGATTTTTTGCGGCAGGCTGCGATATTCCGCAGGGGCTGACGTGGAAGTCGTGTATCCACAAGGTTCTGCTTTCATTACCGCTATCAAATTCGAGAGCGTGTTCATGCATTGATTCCTAATGTTTTTGTTTTTCAGATTCCAATCATGAGAGACCCCGGCTGGATTCGAAATGTGTGGTCTTCAAACATTAACGTGAGTGAAGCCGCGGTGGTGTCCTAACTATACTTTTACATTTCACTCGAGAGGCCGTTCTCTCTGACGGACGGTGGTGTATTGCCACGGGCAGAGGCACGCGCCAGCCCAGGACCCCGCAGTCAGAGGTGCTGCAGAGTTGCCCTGTAGCACTTTTCTCAAGGTCTGATCGCCTGGATGGGGCTAAGAATGTTTTGTTAGTTTCTAATGGCCCCTCCCTGCAATCCAGCCTCCCCCGGGCATGGGTATGAGGTTGTCGTCTCCCTGAGGAAACAGCAGTCAGTGGCCCCCTAGTGCCAACAGGAAAGGTTCGTGTCAGTGCTCACGACGTTGTTGTCTTGCCAGATAGGGTCACCTGTGTCTGATGAGGTACTTGCAGCTGCCCACAGCCCCTCGAGGTCTTTCGGCAGATCCTGCCTCTTTCTCCTGTACCCATTGCTCCTTCCTACCTGTCTCAATGCCCTGTGCCTGGTCCCCAAGCCTTAGCCCGGCCCTTCAGATGGTGTCTGAGATGGTGCTTAGTGCTTTGATCTCTGCTTTGCCCCCGGACGCTGTCTTTTGGCATCTCCCTAAACTCCAAGGTCAGCAGCCAGAGGGCCACGCCCACCCCTCACCCCTGTTCCAGCTTCTAGACCCTCCTCGCCGATCTGCCTTCTGAGCCTTCACTGTTTGGGGGGGATATTTGCTGGAGCCTCGGCGGTGGTCCCAGCCCGCAGGTCCAGTTCCTTTCCTGAGGGCACGCACCTGGCCCTGGGGCTAGACTTCCAGCGTCAGCAACATCCTACACTGGCTGTACCCCATACGCCTTCCACCCGAGGTGCTGGCCCGTGGAGAAGAGCTGTGAGGTGCAAGTCTGGGGGTGGAGAGGTTCGAGAATGGACCTCAGGACGGTCCAGGGAAGAAGTGATAAGGCCTGGACACTCATCAGTCCCTCTGCGGCCTGTCCTAAGCCTCGAGGATACAGAACTAAAGGAGCAACACGCAGCCTCCCTCCGAAGAGCTCGGTCTGAGGGGGGCTCTGGAGCAGAGTGGGGCTCCTGGCCTAGGGCAGTGCTGGCCAGAGAGGCCTTCTGCCCGGAGATGAACCCAGGCCCTGCTGGTGAACGGAGCAGGCCGCTGAGGAAGGCCTGGCCCCGGACTCTGTATCCAAGGGGATTGGCAGGGCCAGGGCCCAATCAGAGGCCAGGAATGCTGACCAGCCGGCAGTTAGTGGCTGTTGAGCCTGAAGTGGGGGAGCCATGGAGGAGAGAAGGGGCAGAAAGTCCCAGTAAGTGAGCCCCTCTCTGGTGAGGGCGTCTGAGGCTGCTTCCCATGGCCAAGCCCCCATTCTCCAGACCGGGGCGGGAGTGGGGGCACGGGCACAGGGCCCCCAGGTCACCAGCCCCGGCCTCTGGCCCAGTGGCTATGGGGTCAAGCGAGGCAGGAGGGGAGGCAAGACCGGGCCTCTGCTGTGCACCTGTCCCGGGCCCTTCAGAGAGGTCATCTGGCGACAAGACAGGAAGCCACAGAGAGGACTGGCCAAGTAGGAAGTTTCAAGGGCGAGATGACAGACAATCCTTACTGTCTACGCAGGAGAACGGGTCAGGGGTCCAAAGTTCTGGTCCCAGCCCTGCCACTTAGAGTGTGTGACTGAACGAGTGAGCTGGCTTCCCTGGGCTCATTCAGATCCTCCTGGTAGCCGGGAGCTCACGCCGTCCCAGACACGCAGGGCTCGCGGTTCAACACGTGGAACTCAGCTTGGGTGGGGTGGGAGGGTCAGAAGCAATTCCAGAAAAATGCAGAGAAAGAAGGTGTCAGGCAGAGTCTGGAAAGAGGCCTACGGTAGGCAGGTGTGGCGGTAAGAAAGCAGGGTACTTGTGGGGAACTGGGACACGTGGGAGGTGGACGTGGACGAGGAGGAGGAAGCAGGTTGCTGATGACCAGGGCGCCTTGACCACCTCCCTAAGGACCTTGGACTTCATCCTCCAGGGAGTAGAGGGGTGACATGGAAGGACATTCAGCAGGTGATGCCAATGAGATCTGCAGCCGTGGGAGCATGGTCATGGGGGGGGGGAGGCTAGAGACGGGACAGCCGTTCACGTTGGTCTGGTTGAGTCTGACGTGCCCGTGGACCACCCGAGTGGAGGTGTCCAGCAGGGAGGCGGATGTGTGGTCTGGAGCCGAGGGGCGAGGTCTGTGTGTGGGTCCGCTGGGGAGCCGTGTCACTGAAGGGGGCCAAGTCACACAGGGACAGTGCTTGGCATAGAGAGGTGGGCAAGGGCATGCAGGTGGGTCTCCAGGCAAAATCCTTCTGTAAAAGTATTTGATCATTTTTATGCTGTTATGCTTACAAGGTAGGGTCATAAATTCCGAAAATGCTTAGCGACGAGCAAACCAAAAGTAAAGGGGAAATAAAACAGAACAGGGAAGTAGAACAGGGCAGAAGTAGGGCTCAGACCCTCCCTCTGTCTCTGCCTCTCTCTCTGTCCTGTCTCTCTCCTAATTACTTAAAAAAATTTGTTTTTCTTATTGATTTGAGAGAGAGAGAAAGTGAGAGGAAGAGAGAGAGAGAAACATCGATGAGAGAGAACATCTACTGGCCGCCTCCTGCACGCCCCCCACTGGGGATCGGGCCCACAATCTGGGCATGTGCCCTGACCGGGAATTGAACTGGCGACCTCTTGGTGCAGGGTCGACGCTCAACCACTGAGCCACACCGGCTGGACTCTCCTGATTACTTTGCAAATGTGTTAGGGACCGGGATTCAGGGATGAGTGTGCCACGGTTGGTCTTTCCTTGAAGGGCTCACCAACCAGTAGAGGAGATGGGGTATATATACCAAGCCAGAGGGACAGCGCTCTGTGAATGTGCCACAGAGGAGGCGTTACACGCGGGCTCGTTAGTACAGAGAGGCCAGCGATGGATTCTGTGGGTAAGGCTTCTCTGGGAGGTCTGGCTTTCGGACGGAAGGATCTGGTCATGGAATGCAGAACCCTAAAGAAATACACCCTCACCACCACACCTGCCCCTTTCCCTGTACACGTGCCCAGGTTCATTCAAGGCAGAAGACCTTGACTTCTGGAGGGACGGGCACGCGATAAAATGTTCGCCCGAACCCCTTAACCAATCTCGCTAGTCAAGACGTGGGTACAGTTTGTGACATTAAGCCTGGTCTTCTGTCCTGTTGTGTCCAGAGCAGCGTGTACTTGGAGACGCCCCCCCATTGGCCACCCTGTGCTCCGATGGCAACATTTCTAATACGAGCAACAATTCCCAGAATTCCAGACGCTCCTGGCCCTGCTACTTGAAACCGTCTTTTACTTATTTCTTGTCGTCATTCGGTGTGACGAAGGACTGGATTTAAAATGTAGTCTTCTTGGAGGGAAGCACACTTCTGGAGGGGGAGGAAGTGAGCATTTGTCTAGATTTTTGTTTATTTTTGAACTTTTTTTTTTTTAATCAAAGTGATTCACGGGTCTGGTTTCCAGAAAATCAACTTGGAAACAGTGGCTGAGAGGTAAAGCCAGCTTCCTCTTCCTCGCCCCAGTCTGTGTCCGGATGTTCCTTACACATTATCCTACGGACTAACCTCTGCCCAAGGAGAGTGCAGCGATTCTCACAGAGCCTCCCAGGCCCTCGCCTGCTCCGTTCTTACACTCGGCCCTTTATGTATCATCTCACCGTTCCTGTGTTCTGTGAACACTTGCTCCGTGTTCAGACTCTGCCTTTCTGTACAGGGCGTTCTCCTCGGGGGAGGTGTGTTTTCCCCGGACGTTCTGTTTGCTTTTCTTTTTCCTTATTAGGAGAGACAGGTCCCTACTCCTTGGCTGTGTCTTTCCCACCCCACAGCTCGCGCACAGAAAGGGGCCGCGGCCCCTCGGCCAGTATCCCAGGTCACAGCTCGCTCTGCGTTACATCTTCACTCAGCCCGCCCCTTTGCACTCAGCTTCCAGATGTTATTCACCACCGTTTCCACGGAGGATGGCCCTTCTGTGTGAGCTCTGAGGTTGGGAAGTGTCCTCGACATTTTCTAGGGTATCTGGAAGGAGGGGGGAAGCAAGTGCACACTCGTCTGTTCTGCGCTGCCAGCCATCTGCCCCGGGGTTGGTTTGTCCAGAATTGTTCGTGGAGCTGTTGAATAGGTGACCGATGACAGGCTCCTATCCTGCCACTTGCTTTGGTCTAAAACATGAATCGTAACAGCCCCACACTTGTCTGGCATGGGTTCATGGTGGGCAGCAGCACAAACATACACAACAGCAATGCACTTAGCGAGACCGTATGGAGAAGGGTCCTGTCATGAGAACCGGATGGAGAAGGGTCATTTCATAGAACCGTGTGGAGAAGGGTCATTTCACGGGAACTGCTTGGAGAAGGGTCATTTCATAGAACCGCGTGAAGGGTCATTTCACGGGAACCATATGGAGAAGGGTCATTTCATAGAACCATGTGGAGAAGGGTCATTTCATAGAACCGCGTGGAGAAGGGTCATTTCATAGAACCGTGTGGAGAAGGGTCATTTCACGGGAACCGCGTGGAGAAGGGTCATTTCATAGAACCGCGTGGAGAAGGGTCATTTCATGGGAACCGCATGGAGAAGGGTCATTTCCTGTTCACCGAATCCTCGGGTTGCACACCGATCCCCCAAGGCCCCTTTCTCGTTTGTGAGCAGAAGCAGTGTGCGGACGCGCTTCTGCAACATGGAGCCGAGCGGCCTGCCTGTCCTCGCCGTGGTCTTCCTCCTCTGCGCCCACGCGGCGCCGCCCGGCTCCGCCAAGGCTGTGAGCAAGCCCGGATTCTGCCCCGAGTTCTCGCTGTACTGCCCTTTCACGATGTTACCTGCGTGCCGGAGCGATAAAGGTTGCAGGCGGGCCAAGAAGTGTTGTTTCTACAACTGCAGACGTCAGTGTGTGGAGCCCTGGCTGAGTCTGGACTGAGGGGGACACCCCTTGCCCCCCGGCCTGAGAGGACACGGTACAGGCTCAGACTCGGGTCACCGACCTCCAGCTCTTCCACGTTCT